GAAGTAGAATCTTTTGCTTGGCAAACTATACTAATCAGATAATCTATCTATGGCAAATTGAAGCTTCTTTTTGTACATTTCTTGTATAAATAATATCTATAGTAATATTTTTAATAATATTATTCAAAATTATATTTTTCTAAATCCTTATTTATTTTAATTTTATCCTATTTTTAATTTGGAATTACAAAATAGTTTAAAAATGCATAATATATTTATTAGGATAATATAGTGTTTATTAATAAGAATAGAAATAGTTGAAAAAACGTATACTACGTTTAAAATGAATATAAAATTGCATGAAAGTATATATGTAATCATTCCAAATACAATATTTTTTTAATATTAAATAACTTTGTTAATAATAAATTGGTAGAATAACCTTGAAGAGTTTATATTACAAAATATTCCCAATCAGTTGCATTATATTATAAGGTTAGTTTTTATGATTACTAATAATGATTACAAATAATATTTACAAAATCAAGAAACTGTCCTTTTAAGTCTGGCAACCTTGTGGAAGCTACCGTTACTCCGCCGATTTAGACCGAGGCCAAGTAACATCTGGCCCACTTTTGTCCGGGCTAACGGTAGTTTAAGCCAAAAACCCTCTGCGAGAGAATGAGCGCAAGCGTGGAGAGAACGAACGGTAAACAGCGTTCTCTATTTCCGGATGATGGTACGAGGGAAAGTTGCATTTCGGCGTTGCCACTTGATGTAACACATCCTTGAAGTAACTGATAGAGATAGAGATAGGGCGCAGCGAAGAGAGGGATGGAGGAGGGTGTGGGAGGAAATGAGAGCGCTAGCCCATTAAATTTTGATGGTTTTAGGGCAGTTCGCAGTTCGCAGTTGGCCTGCCAGTTGCAGCTCCACCACAATACAATAAAGTGTTCATCAAACTCGGGGATTTACTTATTTTTTTTTCGCCTTGCCAACGGACCCACGGACCAAGCAAAGACTAACAATAAACAAACTAAATAAATCCAACTATGTGGCCAAATTGTTGATAATTAATGTTTGCAACGAAAAGCACAATCGCGAGAAAAGAAAGCACGCTGGAAAAGTGCGAATTACGTTTTAAGTAGGCGTTCTGTATACACACGAAAACCAGAAAGGCGGAAAAGCGGCCGGGCAGGAGCCAAGGATATCACAGGACCAGAACCAGAAGCAGAACCAGAAAGACATGTGTAAGGATTCCCGGGGCAGAGTTATCTGTCGCAGCAGGACGAGATGCGGGGCAGGCCCTCCGAGTGTCACCCCACTCGAAACTCGTTGCACCATTTCATTTGCCTAATGAGAAGGCTTCAAGATGCCAGTCGAGCCCAAGAGCAAGGCCCTTTAGTCGATTAACCCGTTTTCTTCTCAGAAGCTACACTGACAGAAAAGCTGCCCAACTGCTGGCAGGGTCTTATGGTTCACCAGCCTCATTTATCTTTTATATATAGTTTTTTATGGTCATTAGGTTTGTCGATTTGTACCTTATCTTTCTATTTTATTATTATTATTATTATTTTATTATGTTTACTATTATTATGATATATTTATTGAAATAGTATTCAAAGGGGAAAAAATGCAAAGGTATAATTATTAAAATAATATTAAACTTTTGTATTTATTTAAAAAAATGTTTTGAATACCATGCTTTTGAAGTTGTAAGTTCTTTTACCATCCATTACTTCCATTATTATATACAATATAAATTTATTTTATTTTTCTTCAAAAGTAGCATAATAACATTTCCATAGGGCATTATTATACTGAAATGTACTAAATTTATATTTAAGGATGTTTTAGGAAATGATAGTTTCATTATATTTTGTAGCCCCATGCTCTGTGTATAAATAATAAATAAGTACCAGCTCTTTTAAATGATCTTCCATATAAATAATTCCAATGCAAAATTCCTTGTTATTTAATTTGAAAGTTATTATTGAAGTTTGTTATTTTGAAAGTCTGAAATATACAATAGTAGCCTGAACAAATATTCATAGGATTGGTGGCAATATGTTAGGATTTCTGTGACTTTCTTTGAATTAGGAACTAGATTTTAGTTTAAAAACTAATAGCTAAGAAAATTTCAGAAATTCAGAAAAAATTTCAGAATAGTTCCAAAAGACTTTTTTAATTATTTTTGTTTTGTTATTAATATGTTTTTATGTGTACATCCATCTGAGGCAGTCAACTGAAACTAATTATAAGCTTATGAATAATCAAAAAAAAATTATTAAACAATAGAATGGGAATTTTTTAATAGTATGAATAATAAGTTCGGATTAAAAAAATGGGAAAATAATTATGGAATGCGGAATAAAATCAAACAAAAAATATTTTCCAGAAAAAAAATGTATTTTTTTTGAATGAAGGAAAAATGTATGTCTGCTCATAATTGTTAATTCTTAATATTAAGATTAAATGCTATTGTTAAAATAATTAATAATCTTCACTCTTTACTTACTTTCAGCGAAAACACCATCCTTTGACAAGGATCGGGACTATATAGGTTTCGCCACCTTGCCGGAGCAAGTGCACCGGAAGTCGGTGAAGCGGGGATTCGAGTTCACCCTGATGGTGGTGGGCGAATCCGGCCTGGGCAAGTCCACCCTGATCAACAGCCTCTTCCTGGGCGATCTGTACAAGAACCGGCAGATGCCCAATGTGGAGGAGCGGATCGAGAAGACCACCAAGGTGGAGAAGAAGACGATGGACATCGAGGAGCGGGGCGTGCGCCTCCGGCTGACGGTGGTGGACACCCCGGGATTCGGGGATGCCGTCAACTGTGAGGACAGCTGGCGGGTGTGCACCCAGTACATTGACGAGCAGTTCCGCCAGTACTTCACCGACGAGAGCGGCTTGAATCGCCGCAACATCCAGGACAACAGGGTCCACTGCTGCCTATACTTTGTGCCTCCGTGGGGCCACAGGTGGGTCCATAACCTTGGTACTTCAAAAAAGAAAACCCTAATCGAAATAATCCTTTTTATATCCACTTCCAGCCTGCGCCAAATGGACCTGGACCTGATCCGACGACTGCACCGCAAGGTGAACATAGTCCTGGTCATTGGTAAGGCGGACTGCCTCAACAAGCAGGAGGTGCGCAAGCTGAAGGAGCGCATCCTGCAGGACCTCGAGGACAATCATATCCAGCTGTACCAGTTCCCCGAATGCGACTCCGACGAGGACGAGGACTTCAAACAGCAGGACCGCGAACTGAAGGCATCCATTCCGTTCGCCGTTGTCGGGAGCAACACCATCCTGGAGGTGGCCGGAAAGAAAGTGCGTGGGCGGCAGTATCCCTGGGGCGTGGTCAACGTGGAGGATCCCGAACACAGTGACTTTATCAAGTTGCGCACATTTTTGATATCCACGCACATGCAGGACCTCAAGGATACCACACAGGTTGGTTATATTCGGGTGCTCCTGAGGTTTATGTTGTAAAAAAATCCTGGAAAAGTACTTATACTAATCCCTTAATCCCTTTGCAGGATGTGCACTACGAGAACTTCCGGGCGCAGTGCATCTCCCAAATATCGCAGCACGCTCTGCGCGAGCGGGGCAAGTTGAAGCGGGACTCGATCAGCTCGACGAACGGATTCGACGCTGCCATCTCGGAGACGGACCGACTGCTGCTGCAGAAGGACGAGGAGATCCGGCGCATGCAGGACATGCTCACCCAGATGCAGGAGAAGCTCAAGCAGACCCATCTCATGGAGATGAAGAAGAACGACAGCGTGATCGACGTTTAGGGTGGTCAATTCGGCACCTCGACCCATATAGCCTATATAGTCTATAGATGCACCCATATAGGACCTATACAGAGGGACCCGTAAGGGATACGGCTGGTTATCCTGGAGCAGCAACCATAATGACTTTGTTCATAAGCAAGCACAGACTTTTAAATACCTTTCCCCCGGATTTCCAGAGGCGGGGTTTACCAATATTACCCACTAGTTTCCCAAACTAAGAAGTAGTTACGAAACTAAAACGAAAACAACGATACGAAATCGGTATTAGAGCAACCAAACACTGAAACTAAAGAACACAGGACATCACAGCCTTTTTCCCAATTTCGTAGCTACAGTAACGAGTCCTTTGACTAGAATTTATGGATTATTTTCTTCTTGAAGCATTAAACACTACGATTACGAATATTATACCAAAGTTTAAGGAGTTTCAAAAACTTATATAAAGACCGCAGACCCACAGAGGCATTATACATTTTGTTTAAACTTTCCTTTATTTTCCACTTATTTTTTACTTTGTTGATTTATTATTTTTATAAAAGAATAATTTTTTTTTAAAACTAATCCATCTACACCGAAATATGAAATATGAGCTAATTTCGCTTTAATAATGTGTATATTTCCACACACAATTATATCTTAAGTAAGAATATATATCAAATCACGAGATATATACATACGTATTTATAGGAAGAGGTACTGAATTTCCATGGATTGACTTTCAGCAAGTTCCAATTATTTACGCTAATTACATATTGTATTATCAGATATCGGTGAACAAACCCTATTTTGTTGAAACGAATTGTTAACAAACTTATTTTAAATTTATTGATTAAGCATTCACGCAACAGCCGTAATATTTAAATGAAATTATAGTCGAAAAATTAAATATGTATAAACCATATAGCGATTGATAAGAATCGATTTCAAATAAAGACAAAAACAATTTCAAAAATAATCTTAAAAAGTTTCTTAATTTTATTGGCCCAAGCCCAGGGCCATGCTTAGGAAGGTGGGAAGTTCATACGTTAATAATGAATATTTACTCAGAATAATAATACTTACAATTTTAAGTATAAAAATCTAATTTTGGAGAACAAGGTTAAAATAGGATAAAATAATTCAATTTATCTCATCTAGGATCTAGGAGAAAAGTATCGAAATAATTGCCACACTTCCACATACCTATGTATGTATACCTGCGATAGTACTTTCTCTAGAACACACGATAGTGCCATCATTTGTTTACTTTTTGAAATGGAAGAAGATCTGACACGCGATGATATTTTGGAGCTGCTCAAAAAAGTAAGAAACTTAGGGGTTTACTCAACCAAAATAATTGGGGAATACTTTGTACAGAGGGAGGTCTATATACCCAACGAGAAGAATGTAACTCTGGAAGAGCTGGAGGAGATCTACTGGCGATTTGCGGTGCCCCAACCGCAAAGGGATCCCCGCGATCGCCGTCGACTCAGGGGAAAAGTCAGAATCAGAAATGTTAATCGAAATGAATTTCCCGGTCTCGGTCAAATGGAGCAACTGACGCAGCGCATTCAATCGGTGGCTATGCTGGGGCATAAACGATCGCTGGCGGAAAACACGAACGATAATGATAACCAGGCCAAGCAAATCAAGATCGACTTACCAGTGACCCCACCAGAATCAAGCTGATAACTTTTTGTGCAACGAGAGTGTTAGAATTGTTGCTCTTACCGATCAGTTGGCCCACAATCTCCGGTCATGATGCACCTGCTGCTGTTCCTCCTCATTCCTATATCGCTGGCTTTTAGCGAGAAACTGCCCCTAGAACCGGAATTCGATGGCGTTCAGGTGAGTTTGCATTTTCACCTTCTAGGCGAATCTTCATACGATCCTTACATCTTTTCGCAGGGCGTCCTCCGGCGTGGGGCCAATCGTGGAGACAAACTCCAGGTGTTCCAGAGCATCTGGGGTGCCATCCGTTCCGACTTCACCGAGGATACGGACAAAGTTAAAGGGCTGTACGTCCAACTGGGCAACTTCGTCCGCGATGAGATGCAGTGCACCAGTGGATCCACTGGTCGAACGGCTTGCGAATTGCAGCAGGAGGTGAGGCGTCATCTGCGCACTCTGATGGTTCAGCGATTGGCAAACTTGCTGAACGCCGAGGAGAGTATTCAGTCGTACAGCATATACATAGCAGCCAGTATTGAGCCAGCTTTGGTGCGGGATATCCTGGTCAGAACCGTCGACGACATCTACTTCCACCGGCCCCTGGTGCAGTTGGTGCGACAGTTTGAACAGATCTATGCGGATCGCGATGAAGTCAGCTTCAAGATGATGGTCGAGGCGGAGTTGGCGCTGTTCTGGAGATATCAAGCCCTCCACGACAGCAACGCAGACTTCCTGTTCAGCATGGCCCACATGGCCAGCAAGATACGCACGCACTACATGTACGCCAGTGTGACTCCGGACCTGCAGCGGCGGGTGGAAGCGATGCAAAGTGCGTTGCCATCAGTTCTGGGCCTGCTCTTCAACCCGCAAGGCTTCTGCCTGGTGAGTCGCTCCGATCGCGAGTACATATACACCGCCATCACCGACGAATGGAACTACGGGCTGAACGGCAGGCAGGTCTTTGCTTGGCACGAGAAGAATTATACAGACAGCGCCGGTTTGATTCGCGCCTTTGTCCAGGATCAGAACTCTGGCAGGCCGGCTTTCACTCTCCGCGGGGAGCTCTTCAAGTGGTACTACTTCGTGGATCCCACCGAGGACAACCGTGTGGCTGCCCTTCGGTCCGGCAGCCCCAGCTCGTCCACCAGTTCCTGGAGCATAAGCTACGTGGGCGACGCTCTGATCTTCCGGCAACGTGATCTCACCATGTGCGTCGCCGAAAAAAGGGACTCCGATCGGCGTTTGGTGAAGATGCTGCCGGGCCAGATGCACACACCCCCGTCGGAGCAGTGCCAGTGGATGCCCATCGACTGTGCCACGCCAATGTGAAAGGGATAGAAACAGTGGGAATAATGGCTTTCAAGATAATGGAAAATAAAAGATACTTCCCAGCACAGACATTTTATAAAATATTAAAACATATATTTATTTCTTCAAGCTATCTCCTAAATATTTATATACATTTATGCAGAGCCTCCGTATTTACATTACTTGGTATCTTGGGGAAGCGTGCGTTTTAGATTCTACAAATATTTTGAACCATCTTGATCATGGTTCAAAATTTGTAGAGTATTTGTTGATAAATGACATTTAAAAATAATTAAAATTTTCGCCGAATATTAAATAGTTTTAATTTATTTCTACTAGTTGTTTAAATCTTTTTTTTGTTTTACACAAACATTTACAATGAAATGAACTTGAACGGATTACAGGAATATGCGTTTAGTGATGTAATTATGATTTGATGGTTTAATTGTCAAAGAGATCTTAAAGTCAAAATAAGTTTTCGAGATAAGTACTGTATGGAACAATAAAGTTTTTACAAAACAAACGGAAAAATGAACGAAAATTATATTGGTTTTAGTCCTCAAGTGAAGCCATTGGGTCTGATGAGTTGTATAGTTGTGCAGATTAAGTGCCGTTTAAAATGTACAACTATGAGAGTGATGAACAGACCTGCTGCCGTTTTCGAGAGTTGATGCTGGATGAAAGTAGGTGAAGAGCTTCCAGTCGGTCGGCCAGTGAGCTCTGCAAGTCCCTGTTACCCTACGAGTCTATAACGTTTTACGTATTTGGCATTTTTGCCCCCCGGTTAAAGATGGACCGGCCCCACGCATCTCTTGGGGGCCCAATGGTGTCTTAGATTAGTCCGAGTCGTCTTGGTCCACATACTCGTTGTTGTCCTCTTCCTCGTCCGTGCTGATATCATCGTTTGCCTGGGCCTCGTAGTGTCGGCTGTGGATTGGCATTTGAGCACTCGCCCGGTCGCGATCCCGGTTCTCGGACGAATGCCGCTCTGCCGGCGGCCGATAGTACATACTGCACTGGACAAACTCCTCCGCCTCCTCTTCGGCAACCTGCTCCATGGACTCCTCGATGGCCCTTGAGTAGTCATCTATCTCCTCGTCAAACAGGTGCGGGGCTCCATTGGCAAACGAGGCGAAGCGCATGGGATTGCGAAGGTTTGCAATGACGCTCCACTGTTTGCATTCCGGACTGTTGACAAACTGGCGCAGCTCCGAAAGGGACTTGGCCGTCTCGTTGACGGTTTGCTGGTAGTATTCCTCCTGGGTCAGGAATCTCATCTTGGGCGGAAAACGAAGTCGGTACATCCTAACAGCGTAGGCGATCCACGATGGGGGAAAGTAATGGGCCACAAAAGTCACCACCATTACGAAAATCGTAACTCTGGTGTGCCAGCTGCTAAAGTATATCAGAGCGCCGCCAAGGGCCTGAAGCACCCACATGATAATGTTCTGTGACCGGGGGTTCTTTGGTGGCCCAAAACGATAGCAAATCTGCGCAAAAACAAACACAATTAGGTCCCAAGTGTACAAAAAACTCCAAGTACTCACCAGAAACGAGATCAGTCCTGTTATGACCAAATACCAAACCACGTAGTCCCTGTAGGTGAGGAGTATCACTCTCATGTTGTCCACCAGCTGCTTGATTACATAAAAGCCAATGGTCCAGCCGCCAATCAAAACGCCGTACATCATCGGGCGCCGCGGAAAGAGTTTCGAAGCCAGGAAAATGATGATCAGAATAGAGGCAAAGATGCCCATGGAACCACCAGCTAGGTAATAGAATACCGCATTCTTGGCCAAACGACGGCTGCTCCAGAAGATCAAAATTCCAATACTTAGCTGCAGCAAGCGCATCAAGTCCACTTGACGGTAGTATAGGGTTACATTATACGGCTCCCTCGAGGCCACGCCTATGCACTGCTGCTCGTACGGGGCCAATGGAATCTTCTTTCGCTTCTGAGAGAACAGGGTCAAGCTAAACAGCGACTTCTGCTCGTTGTAGTGCTCAAGGACTTCCTCTGGGGACTTGCCGCCATATTCTGTGTATTCGTCGTTGGCGATGTTCAGCACAAATTCAACAGTTTCGAACAGGCCCAGTACCGAGTTCTTTTCGCCAGGGTAGCAGTAGGTTCGAAGCGTCTTGGACCCATATAAATTGGCTGCCATATCAATGGATGTTCCCGGTGACAGGTAAACCGTATCCGTTTCTTGTGCAGCCATGATCGCACTTCCATGGCAAAACGCCAGTCCCACGGCGAAAAATAAAAGTTCGGGGCACATCTTGGCCACTCAGTCTACCAAAACATTCAGCTATAGTACAATTTTCTCAATCTGCCGATTGCAGATTGTTTCTTTAAATGCTTTGTCTATCACCTTGGCAGTGGTTTGTTTGGAACATGAAAAAAAAGACGCCGGCTTGCAGGACAGTTTGGTTAGTGATCACAACCTTACCAATTGTTTTTTTATCGATTAATATCGGAAGCACTGCGTGAATCGCTATTGGTCAACGGTAAATATTCAAAAAGGACGATATTTTGTATAAAAATATATAATGCCATTAGTTTAATACAGGCTAAAGGATAACGTATCTCATTAACAACAAAACACTTTAGATTTTTTTTAAATTAAAATTTTTTTAAATTAAATAATGATATCTTTCTAAATTTTTTTTTTAGTTAAATCTTTCTATCAAGTGAATTTTTTTCTATAGCCAAAAGCAAGAGCTTGTTATTCAAAGCCGCTAATTTTTCTATTATTTGAAACAAAACCAGAACAGGGGATGATGCATTGAAGATTTTGCATATCTACAAACATCGATGTTTCTGTCTTTTAAAATCAAATTCTCAACACATAAAAACATAGCAACCATGTTTGAGATTTAAAACAAATCATATCTGAGTAGGCTACGACAGCTTCCCAGGGCTACAAATTGAGGCTCCGACGGCTTCGATTTTCAGTTTCCTTCTGACCTCGGTCGTGTGCAGTCCTAGTAAAAAGTTTGAAATTCCGGAAGGTAAAATACATTAAGAAAAAGTCTAAAAGAAATTAAAAAAATTTATTGTGATTTAAAAAAAAAATGTATTTTTTTATTTAGAAATTCAAAATTTTTTGTTTCTAGTATTCGTACCACTATTTCACATTTTAAGACATTATAATTTATTCTTATTTTATTTTCGTAAGTACTAAATTTGTTTTCCTTTTTAAAGTAAAAAATTTCTTTTATCTTTAGCCGAATTACAATGGAGCCTTTTGAAGATCTTAATTAACGGTTAATCAACGGCTTAAAACGGTTCATCAATTCTTTAATTAATTTTTTTTTTGCAAGTATCTGGATTTGAATATATTTTATGATATATAATTATTCCCCTTTTTTCTGATGTCAAAAGAACAATTGCTATCCCGATCCTGATTCCGCAACTGTTGCTTTGTGTTGTGAGTGCTAACTACCACAATATTCCACATCAATAATAATTTCATTTATAGTTTTCTTTAAGCTCAAAACCTGGTGCCTCTTGCTGTTTTTCTATAACTTCATTTATCTGATTTCCTCATTTTATTCGTAAGTATTAGTTATTTTTTATTATCTGAAATCTTTTATAAACTCATACAACTCATATACTTTTATAAAAATATAATAAGTTCATAAGCAAAGGATACTGACACTTGGAACCTTAATCCTTCATGCAGTTAGTTAGCGATAGATATTCGCATGGCACAGGCCAGGCCTTTTTTAAAATTAAAATTAAAAACAATAATCAAAAATATTTTTTTTCAGTTTAAAATATGTTTATAACATCAGAAACCTGGTATCTTACTCAATATCCTCCATGTTGTTTTTGTAGGTATACAAAATGTTAATAAATTAAAATAAAAAAAATTATAAAAAATACTTTTTTTCAGTTTGGATTATGTTTATAACATCAGAAACCTGGTACCTTACTCTATATCCTCCATGTTAATAGCGATGGATTATCGCCTGGCATAGCAGTTTTATGTCTCCTTCAATTTCACCATTGTGCGGGTCTCGTATTTACTTTTATTTGTAAGTATACAAAATGTTAACAAATTAAAATTAAAAATAATAATCAAAAATATTTTTTTTCAGTTTGAAATATTTTTGTTACATTAGAAACCTGGTTACCTTATTCGGTATCCTCCATGTTAGCGATGGATTATCGCCTGGCACAGCAGTTTTATGTCTCTTTCAATTTCACCATTTTGCGGGTCTCGTATTTACTTTTATTTGTAAGTATACAAAATGTTAATAAATTAAAATAAAAAAAAAATTATAAAAAATACTTTTTTTCAGTTTGGATTATGTTTATAACATCAGAAACCTGGTACCTTACTCGGTATCCTTCATGTTGTTAGCTAATTTAAGTTTCCAATATTGCAGATCTCGTATATCCTTTTATTTCAAAAAATAAGAAATTAAAATTAAAAAAAAAATTAAAATTTAAAAAATTATGAACTATACTTTTTCAGTTTGGATTGTCTTAATGATTTCCCTCAGTTCATAAGCGACAGATTCTGAAATAATTTTACAAGTTGTTGGCTCCTCGAAGTTCACTATTCTGTAGGTGTAGTATTTACTTTTATTTGTAAGTAAAAAAATATGATTATAAAATTAAAAACCTTAATAAATATTACTCTTTACAAATTGGTTTTTTCTTAAAGTTTCCCTTTGTTTTATTGTTTTATTTGCAATTTTACGAACTCATTTATTTATAAAATGTACAAAGTAATAATGTATTACTCTGTATTATGTTCATTATGTTCAGGTTGGAATGTCATTAAGGCCTCCTTGATGTTGGTTGCGATTTGGCTTTTATACATATCACAAAGCTTTTTAAATTAAAATTAGTAGTAAAAAATAATAGCTTATGTTTTTATACCCTTGCAGAGGGTATTATAATTTTGGTCAAAAGTGTGCAACGCAGTGAAGGAGACATCTCAGACCCTATAAAGTATATATATTCTTGATCAGGATCACCTCCTGAGTTGATATGAGCATGTCCGTCTGTCCGTCTGTCCGTCTGTCTGTCCGTCTGTCTGTCCGTCTGTCTGTCCGTCTGTCTGTCCGTCTGTCTGTCCGTCTGTCTGTTTCTACGCAAACTAGTCTCTCAGTTTTTAAGCTATCGTTTTGAAACTTTGCACACACCCTTCTTTCCTTTGCACGCAGTATATAAGTCGGAACGGCCCGGATCGGCCGACTATATCCTATAGCTGCCATATAACTGATTGATCGGAAATGGTATAACTTTGGTGTTTTTAGAGTTAGAGAGTTCAAATTTGACATGAGAGCTATTTTTGGCAAAACATTACGACATGCCAAATTTCATAAGGATCGGCAGACTATATCCTATAGCTGCCATATAACTGATTGATCGGAAATGACCCAACTTTCGTGTTTTTGAAGATAGAAAGCTGGAACTTGGTACAGATTATATATTTGGTCAGTTGATCCGACCTACCAAATTTCATTAGGATCGGCCGACTATATCCTATAGCTGCCATATAACTGAACGATCGGAAATGGTATTTGGTAGAAATATCAACTTTCGTATTTTTGAAGATAGAAGTTTGGGACTTTTTTTAGATTTTGTATTGTAATAAATTGGATTATATATTCCTATTCTCATAAGGATCGGCCAACTATATCCGATGTTTGTATATAAACTATATCCGGTTTTAACTGCAAGGGTATATAAACTTCGGCTCCGCCCGAAGTTAGCTTTGCTTTCTTGTTTAATATAAGGTAATAAAAAAAATAATTTACCAAACCATTTTAAAACTGAAACTTGGCTTATAAAAAACAATAAATCAAATGAAACATTTAATAAAAATAATCCTTGATGGTCATCCTTCAATCTTTTTTTTTCAAACCTGAAAATGTAACAAAATTAAAAAATGTTAAGGCTAACTAATTATTAATGTTAGTTATGTTTGTGTTCAAAGCAAAACGTAGAAACAGCCGTGCAAATATTTAACTAGTTTGTTAAAAAATAGGTGGACGGGGTGGGGTTTTAAGTAAATACAAATAATCGCACAAATTCAAAATGTGGCGGGCAAAGCGTGAGATTTCAGATTTCCAGCTGACAGAGGGCATGTTATCGGCGACCGACCGTCGCTAGCACCAACATCAGTTGGGCAGAAGCTAAAGCAAATACAATAGGCAATAGGCAATTGGCGACTGGCAATTAGCTTTAACGGCTGCCGCCTTTGCACCTGCAACTTACCTGAGCCGTGGCCTTCGGGCGATCGCACCTCTCCGAAAGCAGCAGTAGCAGAGCGATAGCAGGAAAAAACAAGAGCAACTGAAGCAGCAGCTTTTTTTTCTTTGTGTGAGTTTTTTTTGTGTGCCTAATGTATTTTTTTGGTGATTTATTGGTTTCTGGTTATCTTGTTTCGCTTTCAGTCGAAATCTGGACGAAATCAATGCTGTGGACAGTGCACCTGGACGGCGGCCCTCAGCGGGTCAATCATGCTGCGGTGGGCGTGGGCGATTTCATCTATAGTTTCGGTGGATACTGTACGGGATACGATTATCGGTACAATGAGCCCATTGATGTCCACGTCCTGAATGCCCACACGATGCGGTGGTCTTTGGTGCCCCAACAGTGCGACGAGGAGGGGCAACCTTTAAAGTATCCTCTAGTGCCCTTCCAGCGCTACGGTCACACGGTGGTGGCCTACAAGGAGAAGATATACATCTGGGGCGGTCGCAACGATGAGAATCTGTGCAATGCCCTCTACTGTTTCGATCCCAAGACGGCCCAGTGGTCCAGACCCCCAGTCACAGGCTGCCTGCCAGGAGCACGCGACGGCCACTCGGCCTGTGTCATTGGCAACTGCATGTTCATATTCGGCGGATTCGTTGATGAGATCAACGAGTTCAGCAGCGATGTTCACTCCCTGAATCTGGACACCATGGAGTGGCGTTATGTTCAAACCTTTGGAGTGCCTCCCAGTTACAGAGACTTCCATGCCGCTGTGGCCTACGAGCAGGAGCGTATGTACATCTTTGGCGGTCGCGGGGACAAGCACAGTCCCTATCACAGCCAGGAGGAGACCTACTGCCATGAAATCGTCTACCTCGACATGAAGACAAAGGTCTGGCATCGTCCGTTTACAGCGGGGAAGGTGCCCGTGGGCAGACGGAGCCATAGTATGTTTGTCTACAATAAGCTTATATATGTGTTTGGTGGATACAACGGCTTGTTGGATAAGCACTTCAACGATCTGTACACCTTTGATCCGCGGACCAAGCTGTGGAATCTGGTTCGAGGCAATGGAAAGGCGCCAACGGCGCGGAGACGACAGTGCGCCATTGTAATGGGCACTAAGATGTTTCTATTCGGAGGTACCAGTCCCCGGACTGGAGCAACCCCTATAGCTAATTCCTCTACAACAACCACGCCCACTCAGGACGCTGCAGCAGCAGTGGTGGCGGCGGCGGCTGTGGCGGGTGGAGCAGCTGCATCCAGCGTGGTTTTGATTGATTACAGCGATCTGCATGTGCTCGACTTCGAGCCCACACTAAAAACGTTGGCCACCATGGTGGTGCTGAAGTATCAGCTGGATATATCGGGGCTTCCCAGGAGCTTTCGGTCCGACCTGCAGATGCTCACGCAGCCGAACAGTATTAGCCGGCCAATCAACCAGGCTGGCTAGCATCGCGAGGTAGAGGTATACACAACAATCCTGCGTCAACTGCCACACAAAACCTAAAATCTGAATAGAATACAAAACACAAGAGGAACTCCCAGACCCCTAGTCCGGCTGCCTCTTAAACTAATTGCTTACCGCTTGGAGGAGCAGGCTCGAATTAAATAGAAAGCACACAGACGAAAGAGACAGATAGTAGAGTATGTTGGGGGAGAGATGCCGCAGTAACTATTGAAAGTTTTAGAAACTTGCTTTGATACTTCTGTTGGCAGTTAAAGAAAAAACCACACATTAACTGATACTTCGAATGATACCTACGGATAATGCCAGATATATAGATTGTAAAACATTTATAAATGTCCTTAAATAAAAATCCATTAACTATATTCAAGACGAGAACATTTACTTAATATTTGTATACTTAAAGTTTTAAGTTTCCTTCTGGGCTCAAGCTCTTATGTTTCCGAAGACTTGTGTTATTATTCCGGCCTGTTTAGTTTGTAAAAAATATTGTTGGAATTTTATTTTACATTTTAAGCGAACCTATTTCATTATATAATAAAATCTCGTGCATTTTTCAAGACATTCGTTATGGAAAACCCCCTATATTACCCCTTGATTAAAAATGTATTTTATAACTATACTTTTATAACTTTATAACTATTGCTTCGAAGCTCAAGTATAGCTACGATCAGTGCAATACTCCTTAGCATTTGCTAAACGCACTGTTCTAGCCAGGAAGCAGTTCAAAAGCTATTGAAAACAACAAACTCGCACGCAATCCGAGTAAAAGTAAGGTCAGCTGGTCCGTAATTAGTCTATGAATGGGTTGTTTTGGACTGGGAAACCTCCAGTAGAACCTCGAGCGGCGCAATCTGGAGAGTGGGAATATCTAGTATAGGACATACATATTCCTATACTGATTATCCCACGGCACTCGTGTAGCCGCGAACGGTGAGGTAGCCGTTGATGATGTCTGAGGGCATGTGCTGCATGGATGCATATTCGTCGGCGTTGGCAAATCTCAGCTTGGTATGTGGATCGGCGTATGGGGCAGGCAGACCGCTGATGTCTGAGTATTTCTTGGCCGGCACGAGCGAGGGCGGTGCATTGAGCGTGAAGTCTGCAAAACCATTAAACATTTTCTACCTTGAATTTGAATGTTTGATTTTGTCTGCTTACACGTGGGCCTGTCAGCGGGCAACTTTAAGTTCCGTTCCAAGTTGCTGATCTGCCTAAGAGGGCGATATGCACAGTTTTTGGCAAAAGCAAATGGCTTTTTAAATGAGCGTTTGGTTTTCGCTTGCGTTTCCATTTTTGTTTACCTCTGGTAATAGGGATGGTAACTGACCTTGAAGATGTTGTTTAATTAATCGATTAAAAAATAATATCGATTCACAAACAAATCTAATATTTCCACCTCGAATTTGAGTAAATTATTTTCATATTTTTATTATTTTCTTACTTTATATATGCATTTTTCAATCCTGATAGGAAACTATTCACGGTTCTGGTTATAGTACCCAATATTTTCTTTATTTTGATATTTTGAATGTTGTAAAAGTACGTTTTAAAAAATGTTAGCCCAATACTTTTTTTGAAGCGTAAAAACTTATTCGTTTAAAAAATTGTATTTGTAATAACCAATACATCATATTTTCCGCAATCTAAAACCAAATTATTAGCCGTTTAAAAAAGCTTCGAGCGATAGTTGGCATTGACCATCGATATATCGGCCATCAGCTGGGAGGCCTGGAACGGAGTTGCCACCCACTTGTGAATATGTGTTTGTGTGTTGAACTTTGCATGGCGAGTGACCTGCAACCTGTCCGCCAATAACCGTTAATAGCTGCAATCAGTGCAGCCAGCCGACTTTGAAATCAATTGCTCGTGTTGCGTGCGTGCAGTGCTTAGAGCTAGAAGTTTGATGAGTCGCGGATCGCATTCGAACCAAACAACGTGCAGAAATTTTGGCAACTCTGACACACACACACACACACACACACTGGCCAGTTAACATTCTTATTTTACGCTTTTTGGCCATACTTTTGTATCTAGATTAGTATATTGGAAGCACAAAAGCAGCGCATCGAGCCAACCGAAAGGCGTCGCGGAATAAGAGAAGTTGGTAAAAACAAAACGACAATGCAATTGCAACAAAAATGATGTAAATGAAAACTCTCAAGTAGCCCGACCTGAGACTGCGATGTGTGTGTGTGTGTCGTGTGTGGAAATTAACGTAGTGTAAAGCAAAGAAGAAGAGTGGCAAAGGAAAAGTGACAATTGCAATCCAAGGCGAACAACAAAAAAAAAAGAGACGAAGTGAAGGTCCAACCACCTCACCTCCTCCCACTCTCCGTCCGGCCGAAGGATCATCAAGAGTGCTGTAAGACATACTACTACTACGACATGCGAAAAAAAAAAATATGGTTCGGCCGTGGTCGTTAAAAGCGGAAATTCCTGTAAACAAAAACAACACAAAACCAAAAGAAACATCAATTGTTGTTGGGGAGCGGAAGCGGATGAAGTTGAATCATCGTGCGGAACTTGTTTTTTGTTGTTATTGTTGTTTTGTTGCTGCTAATAAAGCATAACAGAAATACATACATAATACACAAAAGCCAGCCACAAAGTCCAATCAGAGTCGCACCAAATTCGGATTCCATCGCTGGGCAATGTAAACAAAGAATTTGCGCCATGCGGGAGCTTCCGTTCAGATAATACAGTGGGCACCGACTAACGAGGATGCCAAACTACTTGGGGAATGTTTATCTATTACCACTAACCATACAGCATATAGACAACCCATTTCATACAACGAAAATGGACGCGAAAATTTCTTGCGACAGGCCCCAGCAGGCCCCAGAGCGGATTTCTTACGCTCTCTTACGCTCATCGTTCGTTCATCTTACGCTCATTCTCGCAATAAATGTTTTCTGTTTCTCAGTCTCTAAACGGAGCGCGATGAAGAAGGTTGGCCTGCGCTTCGGTTGATCTTTGTATGTATGCGTGTCACACATTCACATACATGGGTGTATGTGTGCGTGCGATTTCGTTTCGAAGCCAGCGCACAAAATTTTGATTTTTCTTACTTTTAAGGCTTGCTACCCTAACAAAATTCGGGTATTCGTTATTTGATGAAATGACGAAAGAAATTATATTATTTTTTATATTATATTTTTTATTATTTCAGCATACATTTTTAATTTATTTAGGAATAAGATTAAGTGTTAGTAGTAAAATGTTTTCTGTATATATATTTTTACGAATCATTAAAAATCAATATACTGAGAAAGTGTCAGAGTATATTTCGGTCGGAGTCACTTAAAGCGCCGTTTGCTTTTAAGTTTTTGTTGTTCTGCAAGAGGCTTGTGCATGCCTACTCTAACGATGGAATGATTTTTAGGGGAGGGTGAAGACGGGTGAAGAATTAAATTACTTTTTAAAGTTATTATATATAAGGAAATATATATAAGGAAATTATTAAATTAACGACAATAATTTAATTAAATCTCACAATAACCCAAAATAATAACAAGTGCCTGAAAAATTGTAAACAAAAAAGGTAAACAAGTCCATCAGCTGTTTTCGTGTCTTCACCCTCCCCTAAAAATCATTCCATCGTTAGAGTAGGCATGCACAAGCCTCTTGCAGAACAACAAAAACTTAAAAGCAAACGGCGCTTTAAGTGACTCCGACCGAAATATACTCTGACACTTTCTCAGTATATTGATTTTTAATGATTCGTAAAAATATATATACAGAAAACATTTTACTACTAACACTTAATCTTATTCCTAAATAAATTAAAAATGTATGCTGAAATAATAAAAAATATAATATAAAAAATAATATAATTTCTTTCGTCATTTCATCAAATAACGAATACCCGAATTTTGTTAGGGTAGCAAGCCTTAAAAGTAAGAAAAATCAAAATTTTGTGCGCTGGCTTCGAAACGAAATCGCACGCACACATACACCCATGTATGTGAATGTGTGACACGCATACATACAAAGATCAACCGAAGCGCAGGCCAACCTTCTTCATCGCGCTCCGTTTAGAGACTGAGAAACAGAAAACATTTATTGCGAGAATGAGCGTAAGATGAACGAACGATGAGCGTAAGAGAGCGTAAGAAATCCGCTCTGGGGCCTGCTGGGGCCTGTAGCAAGAAATTTTCGCGTCCATTTTCGTTGTATGAAATGGGTTGTCTATATGCTGTATGGTTAGTGCTATTACTTAGGGTTATTTAGGAGAAAATACTATTAATTTTAACCCTAAATACAGTAGATTCTCGTGCGAAGTATATGGGTAGCAATGGATTTGTTTAAGGTTCGAGGGCCCTGTTTTTTAAAGAAATAAAGAGGATCTATTAAAGGAATTCAGAGGACCCTGTTTAAGAGGATCTATCCTCATATCCTTGTCTCAAGTGCAAAAAATACTCGCACAAAAATATATACATTTTTCAATCTTATTCTTAAGATTATTCTTTAAATAAAGACTCCTCCAGCTAAGAAGCTTTCAAACATCCATGTTTGCTGAAGTTGTACATTTTTGTAAATTTCCTTGCATTTTTCTTCATGCTTCACTTGAAAACAAACAAAATACCCCTCAGCTCATATTTCAGCAATCAGTTATCAACCACAAATAAAAACAGCAAAGAGATACTCTTATTTGGTTTCCAAGAAATGGCATTCCTGGGGGCCTATCACCCCAAAAACGATGAGCAAACACAAAAGGGGTATTCCCTAAAATAACTTTACTTTGGGAGTGGTCACACTATCTAACGGCCGAGTGTGGCCCTAACCTTATCGGAGATCGAACTGACAGGAGTTACAATTATGTGAGGAAACTCGAAAATACAAGAGAAAGAAGCCCATTTACCGAGTCAACACTTCGCCAAGCTGCATTGACTTTGCCCCGGGGACTGCAGATAACTGAAGGAAGTTAATTAAAAGTGGATTGGGAACAGCCCGAACTGGTTTCACTGTGACCGCGCTTGTGGGTGTTATCTTATCTGCTATCCAAGTTTTCTGCCACATTCCCGGGCATTAACCACTCAAGACTCGAGCTTATTGGTGTCTTTTCCCTTTTGCAGTTGAGGAGCAACCAGCGCCGCCATGGAGGAGAAGCGCATCGCCGACTACTTTGTGGTCGCCGGCATGCCGGAGCAACCGCAGCTGCTGCAGGAGAACATCTTCAACGACTCGGGCCGACTGCGAGCGGCCAACACCATAGAGCCCATCACAGACATAGGCGTCTTCTTCCCGCTCCTGGGCGAGGAGATCCCCGAGGGCTACGAGCTACTCGCACACACGCCCACCGGCCTGCCGGCCAATCTGAACCACGGATCGGTGAGGACCACGGAGTGCTACATTTATTTCCGCCGTGGAAAGGATCGGCCACCGCTGGTGGATATAGGTGGGTGTCAGTGTAAAGTGGGTTGGGTTGGGAAGCAACCCAAGTTGTAAGATTTTCGAACTTCCTTCCCGATTTGTTTGGAAAGTTTGTTTAATGTCGAAGATCCCATCAATCAAACGAAAGCTCTACGGGCTTGGGAGATAGCGTTTGAAGTCTCGACACGTAACTTGATAAACTCGAGAAACTATAATTAATATAAATCAAGTAGATCCCGTCAATGTCGTTGGTAGATTTATTTAAAAACGTTTTTATCGGAAAACCAGTCCGATGACTATCTCTTGTTAGAGTAGTGTATATTTTTAACTCGAATACTGTACCTTCCAGGCGTCCTATACGATGGCCACGAGCGGATCATGTCCGATGCGGAGGTTGTGGCCGAAACCCCTGGCGGCCGGGTGGCCAATGTGAACAACTCGTCGGCCAAGACCTTCCTCACGTACCGCCGGGCCCGGGCGGACATGCCCTGCAACGAGCTGGTGGTCACCGAACTGTGCGTCATCGTCCAGAGCAAGGGGGAACGGGCGCCGCACGCCTTCTGCCTGATCTACAAGACCCTGAACAAGGGCTACGTGGGCAGCGACGTCTACTTGTGCTACAAGAAGTCCATGTACCGGCCGAAGCACATCAGCTACAAGCCGGAGATCCTACTGCGTTACCCCACCGTCGACCACAACGATTTCCCGCTGAACCTCTGCCCCAGCGTGCCGCTCTTCTGCCTGCCGATGGGCGCCTCGCTGGAGGCGTGGCCGCACGTCCGCGGCACGGAGAAGCGCAAGCCGATCAGTCCGGTCTTCAGTACGTTTGTGCTCACGGTGAACGATGGCACCTACAAGGTCTACGGCTCGGCGCTAACGTTCTACGAGGATTACGAGTGAGTCTCCCGGACGCTTTATGAATCTTTATGATCCTTATGACGCCTTTTCCAGTGAATCGC